AGTGCTCAGAAGCATTCTTCAGTAGAAACCCTTTCCCGCAGACACATTCTGAATCTGTAGATGTGTTTCTCAATACACATACTTAAACAAATCTCTCGGGAAGCTTTACTGAATCAGGCCCCTTCTGAATGCTGACACACAAACAAGCCATAATTTATTTTTTTTTCTTTTTTCCACTTTGGTGATGTTAAAAAAAAAAGAGAATAAATAATCAAAACTCATACGTATTTTGGTCTAGACCCAGCTTGCAGATGCATAGTACTTTATACCTAATCAAAACTACATTTCTAGACACATGGAAGAGAATTGTCTGCTCTGATGGTGCTGAGGGATGACCATTCAGAACCACAGTCTTACCTTACAGGATATATCTACATTCATCGCTGGCTAAAGCAACTTCTTTTCTTATTCCATGGAGGCAGTTTAGGGTTGGAAAAGGTGTAAGTAACTTTCAAGGAGCAGAGTGGTTGCAGGTTAGAAGCAAGTTAAGGAGGAGTAAGACATTTGTTCTCAAACGGTGTGACTGTCGATGCAGCCTGCAAACACAGGTGCCCTACTGAGCCTGTCACATTTTGTATAATGGAATGTGTCACTGACATGTAGTGATGATCACTGGAATCAAGCCCTTAATCCTACTAGCTCATCCATAGTTAAGCACTGTGTACCTCACATGGATCAGTCTCCACAAGGACCCTACAGATTTCCACCACGGGCTCACTGTTAAAGGAGTATTGATGTTTGTTGTGTGAACAGCACAGTGGAGGCTGCTAGGGAAGTGTGGCCAAACCAATGCAGAGAAGCGCAGGGTGAGTGTGGACAATCTAGCAGACATACAGCATGAGGGCAAATGTACAAAGACACCAGTGTATCCCTGGTGTGCACAAAGGGCCCCCCTTAAAAGCTGCACAGTTGTGCAGAGGGGTTGCCAGCAGTGGCAGGCTCCCAGCCACTGTTCACCCTGAGGTAAAGAGTTGCTTTTGGCCATTGTTTTCTTGTGGTTAGATCGTTAATCAATACCAGTTTATAATAAAGCATTTTCTCCATGGGTCTCCTGATTGCTACCTCCACAAACACAGTTGTTTCTATACTCTCTCGTACACAGGGAATACAGGTCTGTGCACTCTTCTTGGTGTGTGTATATATAATAATCTTACTGTTCCAGGAGGGAAATTAGCACTCACACCCAACATCTATTGCTACAGATATACTACAAATCATCCTAACAAATCTGCCTTATAACAATGTCTAACTTAACTTTAGCTAGCATAAGTGCTATTTGGACATTGTGATGCTCTGACGCAGTACATGACTTACGTTCATTACACATACAATGCTGTCACCGCAGAGTTTCAACCCACACACTCTCTTCCCTGCAGGACATTCTGTCTTTTTACCCCTCCCACTGACAACAAGTAATAACGTGTTTTTCAGCGCTTGTCAGTGCTGCTCCTAGATCAGACACAAGGAAAACTGTACATACCCCACCAAGAATGATCTTTTAAGACAGAGCTTACCAAGACCTAAGCAGTAACTGTAAAAGATGCCCCTTCAACCTTCTTTCATTTAGAGTTACCCTGAGACAGCTGCATGTCTCACTTGGTATCCCCTAGGATCTAGACTAAATAGAAATGCTTTCATCAGACATACAAAATAAAAGTGTGGAAATGGCCATACAGTATCAAAAAATGAGAAGGAAACTCATAGGCAAAATTACGCCTCCTGAAAGCTGGTACTTTTCTTCTTTGTCTTTTTTCCCTCCTGTTGCTGTCTCAAGAGCATGACTGAAAAATGGGGAAGTGAATGTCAGAGCTTGCAAGCAGCAGAATTATGCCTCAGTGGCTTGAAACAAAATCCGTTTGACTCATAATATCACCTGTGGGGAAGGAGAAGAGAGAGAATGTCTATGCTCTGGCAGTAACATAATCACCATTTTGAAAACATTACCCAAGACAGCCATGTACTTACTGTTTTGGCCTAGCTAACTTACCTACTGTGTGCTTCCCCAGCTACTGCACCAGCTTCTAGTCATACACCTTCAGTAAAGTGCACCGGCTTGGACTGAAGCGATTTCACCTTCAACATAATCTCTACTACTCCAGAACCTGTCCTACAGCAAGTTAACGTGAATTTTCTGACATAACCACAGAAGATGCAGTCAAGTTACCATCCTAGCTTAGAAATGGAAGAGAGTTTGACAATAGATATTACAAAAGTGGAAGCGGGTGCAAGGTAAAGGCACATTTTGCAAAGTCTTTTGATATCACCACTGCAGCAGCCTTTCCTGTTAGGCAAGTTTAAAGGAAGAGATTCTCCATTTAATGAGGTGTTCTGATTAGTTCTCTCCCAAACCTGTGCATTCTTCACCCTCTCCCCATGTTAAAATTATTGCAATTAAAATGCACATTATGAAATACTTCTCTTAATTAGTCCCCCCCCATACCTGTACCTCCTTATGGTCCAGCCTTAAATTTTTCTGTAAGCAGAAAAGTTTCCAATCACAGCAGAAGAGTATTACAAGAATTGTTCACCCAAAGGGATTAACTAAATTGCTGATGGATAGCTCAAAGAATACAGGATTATTCACATACAGCTAATCAGTTCAAATTCAAGTCATCTGAGTATTAAATCTGCCATGATGGACTGAGATGAATGATGCATCTCCTAGTAACTAGCATCCTTACCATAAAGTCTGTGGCTACAAAGAGTATTGTCTTCACCAAAAATTAATTTCCTCTGTCCAGCATTAAAATTGAACTATCTTACTGCTTGTGGGATCAGTCCACCAAAACAGGTGTTAATAGCTGTTCTGCCGAAAAACAAACAGCTTTTATCTGCAGGATATCCTCCTAATAAGTACTTTTCACAGAATGTGAAGGTCAAACAATTTTAAGAAAGCTCTTACCTAAAACCTCCTCTAGAATTGTTCCCGTTTCTCCAGCGACTGGCTGTTCTGGAAAAACATATTCCTTTCATATACCTATCTTTTTCTCTGTAAAGCAACAAGCAACTCTGAGTCATGGCAAGCGTTCTGCTGTAAAGCTATGCAATTTGCAGCAGGGCTAAGGGTTAGCAGTCTAACTTTAACACTGATGTTCAGTTAAGCACAGGTAATTTTATGACATAATTACTCTATTGCTAAAGAATCTGCTACCTGGGCAACACATTGCCCTTTCTATGTTTGGTGCAACTGGAACATTTGGAAAAGCTGTCACAGCTTCAAAGTTAAGAGCTTTAAAAGTTTAAAGATAATAAAGCTTTTGATTTTTGAAATTGTGACAGTACTTCCAAATTTTTACTTAGGCCAATTTTGGAAATCTGAGCTGTGCTACAAACTTGTATCTCTAATTAGTGTAAGCTTTATATTTTTATTCTAGTGGCTATTAATCTCAGCTTGTACATTCCATCTTTTGGATCAGTGGCTCCGTGTATTTAGGGTAATTTTAATTTGGAGAGTTTCTAGCTTTTTCATTGCATAGGTGACAGAAGGGAGCAAGGTGAATTCTTCCTTGTCCACATACTTTTTCCTAATGTAACTTGAAGTTTAAAAAATATAGTCAAAGAATTTTATTTCACATTCTACTGTTTTATTTAGGGTTTCCTTAGCTGCAAATCAAATTTTGGAAAGCTAGTAAATTGTAAGAAGGGCTTCGCCCTCTCCCTTCCTCCCATCCCTTCCTCCCACCCTGGCAACTCCCAAAGCTGTTCTTTTGATGTGTCAGTTCAAAATAGCCATTTATCTTTTGAAGTGCCATCTTATAGGGCTGGGGAAAAGGTTTTTTTGGTTGTTGTTTGTTTTGAAGGGAAATAAAACCTTATTTAGGAAAAAATACTTTATTTTTCCAAAACATGTTTAGACAGATTGCAACAAGAACAAAGTACAGTACAAAAATTACTCACACAGCTTGCAATAGTTAATAAAACACTAACCAAATACCTAACTTTTTGTCAAAGTCCTTTTGGGTCCAATATACATTTTTCATATTACAGAGGTAATGCCCACTTTACAGTGGCATCAGATAAAGTTTGTAAGACCATTATAACACAGTCACTAGTATTTGCTCTCTTTATATACCAGCTTTTGACATGGTTTTATTTTACTCCAGACACATCAAGTGTAGTCTGAAGTCAAGTATAAATTTCTTTCCTTGTGTCAGGAGTTCAGCATTAACTTCAGCAGGTTTGCCTGGAATCTACCAAAAGCCTTTCTTGGGTAAGTATTTATATCCTGGTAGAAACTTTTTGCACCTGTCCAAGCAGTGCCCATACACCATTATCCCCTCTTCCAAAAGGGAGCAGCTGCACAAAATGTGATGGTGTAACTGAAAATATTTTTCTCCCTCAAAGCCTACAGCTCTTTTTTGCTACCTTTCACAACTAGTTGTGAACTGCAGTGTGTGGCATGCCGAACAAACCTACAAAGAATATATGCGACAAGTCAAAAACTGTCAAGGAGGTTTCTCCTCCCATGCCCATCTTTGCAGAGGAGGCTAAAACAAGTCAGTATAGGCTGTGATCTCTTCTGCAGTATTCTAACATTAAGAAAAATGAAAAGACAGATATTTTTTTCTTCCTGTGAAACTGTAATTTAGTCAATGTATGCAGGAGTGAAGCATCTGACAAATTCTATACACATGTAATGTATAAACAAAAAATTGTCACACCTTTACTTTTATTTCCATGCCAGTATTGTCTCTGCAATTACCTCAAGAATCTAATGTTTCTGTTGTGATCATTTGTTTTGCACTGCAAAGCTCATTTTGGTCAATCTTGTTTTCCCTCTGTATCTAAACCTTTCAGAAAAAGCTAAGGGTGGAGTCTGTAGATACACAAAACTAGAACACCCACTGCATTAAGGCTTGAGGGCACAGGGACATAAGAGGCACTGTGTCCCAAGCAGTGGAATACAGTGCAAAGCGTCCCAAGCCAGCTGAGATGCCAGCCAGCCGTTCCATGCAGCACAGAATACTGGCGTTGCATTTATAAACAGTAGAGGTCTAAAATGCTTAAAGTCAGCTTTATTGTTTACATGCAGCAAGCTTGGGTACCTCTGCACTGGAATCATCACTGGTTTTCCTGTGCCAGAATAAGCACAGGGAAAGGCAGGTTTTTATCAGATCTTCGCAGTGTTTTCTGTCACCCCATTTCATGAAGTCTGCAGATGTTTCTTATCTTATAGTTTTGCTAAGGTTGGAAAATCCAATGCCAACACACGTCATTAAGACTTTCTCCCCGCCCATGTGCTCTTCCTCAGGGGTCTTTGTTTCAATTTTAAACATGATCTGGAAGAAGCTTCTCAGGTGTCGCAGAAACTCAATTCTGAGGGAGAGAAAACAACAGAGTTTAAGAAACGAAACAGAAAGCCCGTTAGCAGTATGTACTAACACTTATGCCAGCAACGAGCACAGTGAATAGAACATGAAAATATTGCTTAGTACACATAAACAAGCCTACAGGCTCCAAACATTGTTCTCACTTGTGTTGTCGAAGTGGCTAGTGACCCCTACTGAAACCACTGCACTCTCTGTATAAGCAGAGAGAGAAGGAATGCCTGATAAGATAGCAAGACAAAATGGTGAGGGAAGAAGAAAGGAAGGAGAAAGAAGAGATGTAGCCAGGCAAGGTCACTCACTCATGATGCTGACTCTCCATCAGGGCTGTATGAACCCCATACCAACCTGTAGTACTCCCCCCCCCAATGTTTAAAGCAGAAATAAAAGTTAAACAGGGATAGCCAAAAGGTTGGCCTTGGTGCATACTTTAAGAGACATCAGATCCTAAAGCATGTATTTGGTATGTATTACTAACTTGTCCACTTCTTAGTTAAATATTTTGTTATGATCACATTCAGACTCAGAATTCTTCCTGTTTTCTCTCCTCATTTTCAGGAAAAAAGAGTAATTTTCCTTTCATCATTTTAGAATGAGAGGCACGAAGAGACTAAACAGACACAGCGCTCCTAAACGCACATTGACTGGAGGGCGAGTGACAGGAAAAACTACTGAAAAATATAAAAAAAAGAACAAAAACAGCCAAGAAAACATTCCTACTGGCTTCCTCAAAACAGGAATAAGCAATTACACCAAAAGGATACAAATATAAAACTGGTAATTGCTCCTGACTGAAGTCTGGTCTCTTCTAGTCATGGCCACAAGCAAGTCTGCAGTCTTGAACTAAGGTTCAATCTCCTGCAGCAATTGGTATGTGCCCTTCTTAGGTTAAGTTTAACCTTTAAAGAAAGGGAATGTGCACATCCAGTCCGCATATTTGTTTGGCTGGCAATCTGGAAAAAGCCTCTGCGCTGCATGCTGAGAGCACAATCGCAAGCTAATCACACTTACATCATTACACCAAATCAAGAGAAAGTACCCACAAAATGGGAAGCAGGAGACCAAGAGCATAGGACTGTCGCCACTCTAACATCATGTAGCCTCTGAAAGCCTCCTGGCAGCTCCTATTCACAGAAATTGTGAATAAGCACAATGAAAGTTGCAGGAGTAAGAATTGCCTTATCCACTTCAGTTGGGCATGCGCTCGGGTATGTGCATGGGGAGAGGAGGGCAACAGCAGGAGCCAAAGAGAGGCTGCTGTTACCTACACTGGTCTGTGCTTAGCAAGATCGGAGAGTTATCTCTGGGGCAGTCAGCTGAATACCTCTGCAGGGTAAATGTGGGCACTTGGCTCCCCATGCTATGTACACCTTTCTACCTCACCTTCCTGGCCTCAGCACAGACACCAGCTCTCTCATCGCTCAAATGGATTAACAGTTGAAAGAATGAACTGAAAAGCACCTTTTCTTCCATGCCTCCCCAGCTGCAAGGTTTCTGGTTGCTGCTATAATAGGCAAATGGGCATATGCTGGCACAAATGCTTAAGTAAAGCTGACAGGCAACAAGCTCTGTACCAGCCTCCTCCTTAGCTGGGTCCTTTCCCAGAGCTCTGGCAGTGTGACAAGAAAGCAGCCAAGCCCAGAACAGCAGGAGTGGCATGCTGAACTGCAAGGAGGGCACAGAATAAACTGTACAAATGCCAGAGGCAGCGTGGAGCCGGAGGCTCAGGGAAAAATCCTAAAAGCTGATCAGCAAACTCTGCAACATGTTGGTGGGATCAGTTCTCTCTGTACCTCTCTTTGTACATATGTGGACAACCGTGCTTCTCTACCTCTTCTCCCTTTTGAATAAAGGCAGAGTGAGGAAAAAGCAAGAGGGCTTTGCCACAGCCCCCAGGTACATGGGAAAGGCTCACAGGAGTGGGAGCAAAGGGGAGGCTGCCTGGGGATGTTGGGGGAGAATTTGGGAGCAACAAGAGGCCAGCTCTGTCTTGTAGCAGTAGAAGCACAAGTGGTAAGAGCCCTGGAAATAGGAGAAAAAGAGGGGGGAAAGGCAGGGATATGTGACAGAAGGGCAGCAGAAAGCATACTTATATTAGCTTGAGGCTGATATGGGTCACACGTGGGAGGGTTTGCACTTCAAATAGTAGTGGAGGCTGCACCAAACATACACGTACAGACTGGAGGACTGAGGGAGGGAGGGAGAGGTATAGAGAAGCTTATTTTGCTGGAAATGTAGACCGTGTGTTCAGGCAAGAACAAGGCAGAGCTGAACACTTGTCCTTAGGCTTGGGGACAACTACATGAGCCCCAGTGGAGGTTTTCCTCAGGGCCAGCCGCTTTCAAATAAAAAACCATTGTACTACCAAAAAAAAAAAAAGTCTGTTTATCTAAGTGCTATCTTTTCCCAGAAGCCTGCTAAGCAACACCAAAAGGTACATAACCACTTCACACATCTTAGCTCCCTGTCAGGGCAAAGTGACCAACTCACAGATCAGTGCGAGAGAAGACCTGCGCATCAGCAACGCCTTCTTGGTTCGACTGCCCCACAAACAGCACAGGGCACAGCCTGGCAGCGCCGACGGCCTCCGGTATTGCTCCCCAGCGTCCCCGGGGGGGGAGCGGGGGGGGAGCGGGGCCTGACCTGGGGCTGCTGGACACGGCCTGCGGCCAGTGCCCGGGCGCGCGGGCCGCCAGGGGGCGCCGCGCTGAGGGGAGGCCCCGGCCCCGGTCCGACGGGCAGCAGGCAGGCTGCGGGGAGGGAGACAGGCCGAGGGCCTGGGTGCGGGGCGGGACAGACACCCCCGACCCCGGGGAGGGCTCGGGGTACAACCGAAAGCGGGGCGGGGAGGGCTCGGGGTACAAAGCGGCGGCCCCGCCGGGCAGAGGCGGCCTGCCCGCGGACGCCCCCCCACAGTCAGCCCCGCCTCAGGGGCTGCGCCTGGCCTCCTCCCCTCAGCTTGAAGCCCCTAAACCCTTGCGAAACCAGGCACTGAGTCTTTCCTGTTGCTCTCCTTCACGTACCCTTGGCTCATGCCAATTCACCTGCATGCAGACTAGCCTGTCCTGCAAGACTGATCTCTGCGAGGTGGCAACACAGCTAGCACCCTGCATTTGATTTTAAGCTCAGCTTGACAGAGAGGTGCTTGCTTCTGTGAAATCTGGAGCATAAGATGAGAGGAGGTAATCCAGATGGCCACAGGCCAAGTGGTCTTTTTGGGACTGGTGTCCCCAGTGCCACTCAGGACAGCCCTGCTCATGGTGTTGCCTGCCATCATGCCATTAGCAGGGGCAAAGGATGTATCTCGTGGAAATACACAAATATGGGAGATGTTTCCTCATTCTGATGGACGTATTCCAAAGCACTATGTCCCCACACAGTGCTCTCATCTGCCAGCTGAACTGTCACATTCATGCTACATTGTGCTAGACAGGGAAGCCAATCTAGCATAACATGGTGTATAAATAACTTTGGATTCTGTAGGGTGAAAGTGTTAAATGCAGAGGTGTCACAGCCCCAAGAGAGAAAAGAAGGGACAATGAAGTGGAACATGACTACTGCAATTTACTTGAAAAGTCTGTGCATCTGATGAGTTGCTTGCGAGCCAGATTTCTCAGCCCTTTATGAGCTGCCTTAGTGAGGGCACAGGGGTGCTGCAGACAGAGCTGCATGATTTCTGAATAGATCCTCATAGGACTGATGAGTCACAAATTCTCAGAGAATCACAGATTTTATGATCTCATGTGACACATGCTGCTTCAGGATGTCTGCTCCTGACCTTCATCCCTGCCACGTGCTCCTAGCTTGGAAGAAGTGACAACCCACCTATTTTAAATCAGCCTGCTTACAAAATAAACTAGTGTGCTTGCGTGATTTTCATAGCATCAAAAAAAAAAAAGACAAAAAAAAGACTGGACAATGACAAGCGATTGGTTTGTTTCACATGCTTAACTGTGCACTTCAAGCGCCGATACCTACTCTTTGTAAGCCTTTCACATGTATACTTACTTTACAGGGGATTACTTTACCCCTGTGCAATGGGAGGCTTCCCTGTCTTCCCCTCAAAATCTGATGAATGTTGTTTCCAAGATAACAAGGGTTGAGAATAGCAGTTAGGCAATTTCTAGCTCTCATGTGATGGCACCACCATTCTTCAGTTATCACAGTACTGTACCTTTCACGTATACAGCACCGGTACCATGATAACCGAAAAAGGACAGTTCATAGTCTTATTATTTGATGCCATTGTCAGATAAACAAACCTCCCTCCATTTGATTAAATGAAAACTGCTCAGTCTCTACGAATAACTGTGATCTAGTTGGTCACTTGTCAGTCTGATAGAGTAAATGAGATTTTTGATACTAGATGCCCTTCCCCTAACCTGTGTGTTGCAACTAGCAATGTAAGAAATTTAGTCTTTTTCTATCCTCTGAACCACTACCAGCTGCAGACAAAGCTTTAATGAAAATTGAGACCGAAGCACTAGATAGAAGTCTGCTGCCCGATAGGGCTAAAGCTTTGGGGTTGCACATAGCTCCATGAATTAAACTCTTACGCTGTTTCCTACGGACAATCACAGCTTTAGCGTTTGGCTAGCTATTTGAAACATGCCATGTAGTGCCACAGCTACAGAGAGATCCCTAGGAAAACACGGTAGTGTACGCTAGGCAACAAAAAGCAAACTGATGTACACATAAAATGCAAGACTAAGAACCAACAATAAACCCCATCTCTGCAATTCTCAGAACCAGCAATAATATAGAACAGTAAGGGAATCATCTTCTAACATGTAGAAATAAACACCAGGTAACTTACACCACCTGTCTCATTTGAAGACAGGTACAAGTTGTTCTATTCATAGCCACAGGCAAAGTCTTCCATATACAAAAAATAGCTGTGCAATAAAACTAGTGAATTAAACAAGACTGGGTAATTAAACTGAACGAAACAACTTACGTGTATGGAGACAGAGGTCCTAACAGGACTTTGGAAACATCTCGTTGTCCAAGGGTCATGAGGAGAAGAGCAAGGCTCTGATTTGTTGAATCTACACAGCCTCCCTGCAAACCACAATGTTTTAATAATTAATCTCTGTACAAACCAGAAATTGGGATGGGAGGAGAGTAATGAAGGAGAAAGATACACTTAAAAGGCTGAATTACCGCTCCCAATTTTCAAGGGCCAAAAAGATAAAAATCTAGATTTTTTAACAACGACAAATTAATTTCACATGGCAGGCTGGGAAAGGAACAGAACTAAAACAAAACAGCAGTAACAAGGTCACATTAAAGATCCCTCCCACCTCTCCCAACCTGTTCTCTTCTAACATCACAGAATGTAAGCACTGAAGAATTTCTTTGCATTAAGTTGAAAATAGGTATTAATTATACTTCATGTGCATTTGACGATACCATGAATCGCAGCACTTTATCATAACTATAAAGTTACATTCGGACAAATAGTTCAGCATTAGCAGGTGCAAAACAGCAAGTTAAAAGTTGTTTCACACACATCCACCTAAGCCCTTGCTGCTAACTTTTGTGGTTTTACATTTGCAAACATTTTTTCCCCTATATTTAAAATGGGAAATTTTTTTTTACTGCTATGTGAAAAAGCCATGCATAAAATTATGTAGAACTACACATAGTCTTGTACATATTTGACTGTAGTAAGTCATACATGCATGGTAAATTGTTTTGCATGTGGAAGTTGTTAACCATGATGCATACGTAAATTAGAATAGGAAAGCTTTCTTCGTTTACAAAGCTTGAACGCAAATTAAAAGGGATACTTTCAGTCAAGACTGCTGTAGAGAGAATTTACCAACTATTACTATGCAAACGCATTGAAAAATAGAAAAAGTATCTGGCATAACATTATTTCGGACTGTCCATTCGTCCTGATCCACAGCCACATGAAATCTATGAACAGTTTCCTGCTGGATCAGGCCTACTGCTAAGCCCTCTGAATAGGGTCTCTGGAGAGAGCAGAACTAAAAATTCATCCTTTTAAAAACAAATTCTCTAATGAGGTAAACTGACAGTCACCTTTGTGGGCAAGGAGTAACCTGCCCTCATTTTAAGAGCTAACACCATCCAAAAAGGCAAGGGAGGGGCAAAATAAATTTTGGACTACACAGATTAAGAAAACACAATGATGTGACACCCTCAGCACGTTTACTCAGTGAGAGGGCAGAAAGGAGGACCTTTCCAAGGACAGTTACTGAAGGTTTAATTTTCAAGATGGCCTTGCTTCAGTGTGACAAGTCTCAGCTCCTTTCAGAAAAAAGCCTCCTGCACTTCTTGCAACAAATTATACACCACAACAAAGGAAACATCTTCATTACATTCACTATCATGACCTAACTCCTCGCAACATGCTCTTACAGCAGCCCTTGCCCTTTTAACTGCATGAACCTGCCATACCAAAGTGAAGTTCAGGCACTCAACCTAATGCCCTCTATGGGACTGATAAAAATTGTGCTTTATCTTGAGCGAACAGTGTACCTGCAGAATTTGCTGGTGCCATCTAGAGCCACAGCTCTCACCAGCTGTATTTGCGAATCTGAAACATGTGCAAGAAGCAGCTGAGAGTTTAAGAAGTATTCCTGACACAGGGCTTTCTGTATTTGTAGTTTGGTTAATAATTCAAAATGCTCTTTATCACTTGGATGAAAACTTCACATTTTTTGAGCTTGTTTTTGCTTTTCTAAAGCTGAAAACATTATAAAACATCTATTTTTATGACCAAATTTATACAAAAGCTTCAATCAGCATGGAGACAACCACGTCCTAAACAATATAGCAAAACAGGATGCATCCATCACGTCCTAGCTGCTTACATAAGCTCTCTTGCTGCAGTGAGTCAGCCGTCCCCACTGTTGTTGTGCATTAGCAATGCACTGTTATGCCCACTCCCACATGGGCAGTTGCCAGACAGGGAAATTAAGTGATTTGCTTGTAATCTAATGATGACAGAACAGTAACTTGTGCCAAATGAAGGACATGCCGCTCCCAACTTTTTTCTCTCAACCCACCTGCCACTTACTTACTCAAGAGTCCAAAATCAAAACCAACCCTCCCAAGAGAAATGGGATGGGCAAAGTCAGAGCTAAAGTACTGACATTTGTTCCAAAATAGCTGGCACTTGTTACCAACCTAGGATGCAGCTTCTAGTCCATATTGATTCAGTTTATGGCAGTTTCTCCATTATTGTTTCCATTGACAACCGAGCCAGATCCAGCTGGATGTGACAATTAGAGACACAGATCACTTAAAATCCCGTCCATTTTGAAATGTTGTTATACAAATACCACAGTTGACATGCACACACAAATACCACAACTCTGGGTATTGGACAACAGTGTTTCGAAGAGGATTATTCTTCTGAGCTTGACCCCAGCTCTGATTTAGTCTTGGTTATATTTTGGCATACACACAATTTCCTCCTTTAGCCGTACGGTACATACTTGCATGCCTCAATAATTTGTTATGTGAAGTGCAGAGGGCTGGTTGGTTTGTTGGGTTTTTTTTCTTCCCCAGAAGAATGGAGCAGAGCCTTGTCACACTGAAGTAAGGCCATCTTGAAAATTAAGCCTTCAGGGGAAATGCTTCACTCATTTTAGCTCTAGTTAAATAACACAAACAGCCTTACCCCTCCTGCTTCTCCAAGCCCCCCTAACATCAACCTTTCTTCATTAAAGAACACAGCCTTAAATAGGTATTGCATCCTCCCCTATTTTTCATGATCACAAGGAATATAAACATTCAATCCTTTTCCAGTTCTTCCAGGCCTTCCCAGTCTGCCAATCACTTGCTACATAAAGCTTCCATAACCAACGCCTTTCAAAGACGAGGAAAATCCTTACTGGCCTTCTACAATTAAGCTTAGGTAAGAACTCCATATGGATTTGTAAAGACAATGCTAGCCAGTCACTCCATGCTCCCTCTTTCAGGGCCAGTGTAATTACCACTGTGCCCTTATTATTAGTCAGTTAGCTCTGATATCTTTCCATCAACAAATGTACATAAAAAAAGCTCCACTGATTCCAAGAATCATACGACCTCTTTCATTTCTTTTTGAAGGCTTAGTAAAAGGAACCATTTAGCACTTCACATAGCAAGACTCAAATGCTTAGATTTCCTAGGTGGTAAAGTTCACGTAACAGCAAGCATTAAGCAAGCACTTTAAGAGATGTCCCTGGGCCCCTTTAAACAGTAATGAACTCCAGCAGATTTGTGGGTGACCCCATCAGCTAAAATCCTTCTACAGAGAATTATCTCCAATGCTCCCAGGATGCCCTTTTCTAGTCAACCCTCCCTCACTCCTGCAGTATGGTACCTACAGGCAAAGACACAGATGGAGGAACAATCTCAAAGAGAGGATCTAAACACAGGGAGACAAATTCTCCCTTGAGCCCTGTATTCAGCAAGCAGCTGGTGTAAAGAGAGTAAAGAGTGCCTGTTCAGAGCAACCTATTCTTGCTCCACGCACAGCTTTCCCAAATTTTTACTGTTTCACTAGACATCTTATCTAGGCAAAGAAACTTTAAAAAGTATCTTCAAACTAAACAAACATTGCACGCTTTGCAACATGTTTTTCTATCCTCTCTGGGGTCAACACTAGATCAAACTGACCTAAGCTCAAAAAAAAAAATCAATGAGAAAGCCCATCTTCCCAAATTCCTGGCTAGCGCTGTGTGAGCATGTGTGTCATACATAAATTCAAGTGTGCATTCTGAAAACTACAGAACAAAACCCACCATATTGCCATGACAGAGGGAGCAGGGAATTTATAAACACTGAATAAGGACTGAGCACTCCAGTGGATAAGCAGCACAATAGCCAAAAATGCTAATTAACAAGAACTTTTCCACCGTGAGCTGCCGCACTGGAGGACCACAAGCAGTCCATAAACTGCTCAGCACTTGTCAGTCACTCTTGGACTGAAGCAGTCCACACATAAAAGAGCCTTCCAGGAGCACTAGCGGAACCATAGCAGGCCACAGCTAACAACCTCATTCATTCAGAATCTGATCTTCAAAGACATTGAAACCTCATGGCCTACCACTTTATCATTCAAATACTTGCCTGACCCTGTTTCCTCCTCAAATGCTTTTTTTCTGTTGTCCCAAGATCCTTACTATCCTGGTGCTTTGCAGAATTTAACTCATCACATTCAAATGGCTGCAGTACACTAATGCAGAAAATTACCTGGTTCAGGTCTTTCCAGCCCTCTTCATTTCAGAAGTTCTCTGACATCTGACTCTGAAGAGAGTGTAATATCTGGACAAATTCCCTAACTAGTTTCAATCTGTCAAGTGCTGGATGGTTTTCAAAGGAAAAAAATACCTATTGCTGCTGGTAGAAGTATGTAGAAATTGGATTTTTGAGGCCTTCAATCATCTGACTACCTGAATATGTTTTCCAAGAAGTTTACACAAAGAAACAAACCTACCAAATTTTAGGGGTTTTTTTTGGGGGGGTGGAGGTGGGGGAGTGCGGAGGGGAAGCTGAAAGATTTTACAATTCACCCCTCAAATAAAAATAGCTACCTGTCACTACATAATTGTAGAAACAGACAGATGTTTCAGTCACTAGTTGTGACTGCATTCTCCATGCATGCTGGACTTTCAAATTCAAGGGGTCTGGACTATACCCAGGAAGAATATTTGTTTGTGGTGTTTCTATGAGATAAGAACCCTGGGCTAGAAAGGGAAGGTCCTCTAGCAACATGGTGCATATACCTAATAAACAAAGACAAAATATTAATGGAAGACTGGAACAAGTGGGCAAGTTGGTAATTCAAGACAGATGAAGGGTTTGCAGCAGAGAAAGAAAATGATAACATGGGCACAGATGAACAATCTGAACTACAGGCATGGATGTGACTGATGAGGTTAAGGGATATTTTTATAATTGATATCTGCATTACCTAATGCAGAATCTTATTAACGGCAATTTTAATACTTTGCAAAGTCCTATCAGGTTATTCCAGTTCAGAGCAATTACTTTTTTTAAAACAGTGAGTACAATCTGTAGATGACTGCCTCCTAAAGGCCAAATGTCTTTTGTCAATACTACCAGCTACTTTTTTTAACCTTGGTGGAGATACACAACAAAAGCAGGTAGGTTCTTTATTAAATCAGAAACTCGCTATGATGCTAATTGCCAAATCATTTGTAAGACTGAAAGCTGGTCACCCACTAAAAGTCTCACCACAAATGAAAAACATTTTAATACAAAAAAAAAATTACTCCGCGGAAGACTGTGATGCACTTAAGATTCCTATGCAAACACTGTCCTAGCTCCTTTCCAACAAACCAGTCAGCCAATTCTTCACACAACCAACAGATCTCAGCACATTTGACTTTGTCATCATCACCATAAAGCAGCCACCATTGAGGCTAGCTGCTCCCCCCCCGCTTCTTCTTCCTCATATGTTCTCCCACTCATAATGCCCCATTCCAACCACTAGTTTAAAAGCATTGACTCTATTACCCCTCCAACTTTTTATTAAAAAAGTAAGAGCCCATGTGAAGCCAACTGAACTCTGTTGCAGACAGAAAGCAACAAAAGAAAAATTTGCCACTACTATGATTCATAGTTACATCTCCTGGACATGGGAAATAACATGGCCCAGTGAGTCATTACACTGTCAATGGAACCCTTCAAAACCACTCCTTACCTGGATGAAGAAGATACTGGCAGCATCAGATCATTTATCTGTTTGGATCTGAGCCTGAGGGTGCCCCCAAACCACCTCTTCCTTTACCAATATGTCATTACCTTCTTCCCCTACAGCTATACACGCAAAACGTATTGGCCACTTACCCTGTAGACCTCCTCAAGCAACAGCTTAGCACAATTCTGGCCAAGTTCCTCAGGAAGCACAGCTGCTCCCTGGCCCTGAGGGTTTGAGGCTAGCTCAGCACTGAGAATAGTGCCGTTGATGGTTTCTGCAGTAAGGCACATGCCAAAACCTGGCGATCTGAAAGAAAGGGGAAAAGTGCATTTGATTTAAGGACAGAAACCAAGTAATGAGCCAAGAACTACTTCCAGCCAACCTCCTCCTCAAGTCACAAACAGCTCCTCTCATATGACAACACTGGGAATCTGGACTTGCTGACAAATCTCCTGTTCTATACATTTGATTCACCCTGGAAAAACATTAACAACAGTATTTAAGAGTTAAACCCAGTACCACTTGCCCCAAACACACTGTGCTGGCTATTCCTGGCACAAACTCTTTAAAAAGGAAAAAAGGAAAAAAAAAACAAACCAAAAAACATCCAAACCTCAGAAATATCCCCCTCTATTAAAAAAAATAGTCTCTTTCACATTTATTTAATTCATATTTGATTAAAATTTCAAAGGTATCTGGAGTTTCTTCTCTGTGACATTCAAAACCAAAACTAACTTTCTTTAGGGATCAAGCTCTTGCCCTTGAAGCCATAGCCATGGCACCAAGCAGGAGAATAAAAAGAAAGTCTGATCCACATTACTTGTATTTCAAATCACTTCTTTTCACTTTCAGTTCAATACCATCCAAATCATTACAACCGTCTAAGAGTTCTGAACATATGATTTGAAGAAAGAAAACACCCCCCCCCCTATTTTCCTCAGAGCTTAGGATCCTACAAAATGCTACTGTGAGAGTTAAGAAACATTTTTGCTACGAGAAAGTCACAGATGGCTGAGTACAGCTTGCTGAGAAATCAGAAAGTTGTAAGGAAGGAAAAAAAAGTCACAAGATCCTCTTACAGGCTCTGGAAAAGCACCAGTAGCTAGCCATTCAAAATAAGGTTAACAACTTCCCACAGTTTTGGGCTCCTGCTGCCTCCACCACCCAAACTTTTTAATTAAAATAGTCACACTGACCCAAAACTGTAAGGAATGTCACCAACATCAACAAACCACAAAATCAAACACCAATACACACAAACTCTCCCAGTGCCAGAAAAACAACAGTTCCTCCAGAGGCATTTCAGTAGGGCAGGAATGAAAAGATATCAGTGGTTCCCACCCATATTTAACTGCCTGCACTTGCTGAGCAACACAGAAGGTATGTTAAAGATGTTTCTCTTCTCCTTTCTTTCCTCTGAAAGAGAGATAGAGATCTAGACAGCCAGACAAGAACAGTGTCAAAGACGCTATTTTTTGGACAAGTATCCTTTAATAACTATACCCACTGGCAGATGTTGTTAGTGTTCAGTAGCATGTGGCAATCTGCCTAAATAAAAATTAAAATCATCCAGTGCCTCATGTATGTGCAGACAGTATTAGGAAGCATCTGCACAAACTTTTTGCTGCAAATGCTCAAAACAGAACCGGGAAGTTTCTGCTTAGAGAGACATTACATGGGGCAGAAGATGCTCAGATATGTATTCCCTGAAGCTTTTGGCACTGTGGAAGGGCTGAAGTTCAACGCTTTATATTATAAAATCAGGACTTGGTTTGGGCTGGGTACAGATGGGCTGAACTAGTCCTTGCTGGTCTTACTCATCACCAGAGGCAGCACTGGAAATGACGAGGCATATTGCCTTGCTTCCTTGTCCTGCCAAGACACACAGAAGCACTGGGAACCAAGTAATAAAAAAGGCTTTGCCAAAGTGTCACAATGTTAGTATCAGGTACACTGCAATCGTACTGGCGCCATACTTATGCTGAATGTGACAGCACCGCAGCATCAGAAAGCCACATGCACCAGCAAGGCAGAGAGGGATTCAGTTCATCTTCCCATACTATTATTTATCCCTCTGCATGGGCTACCCATGCAAGTAGTAAATGTGATGCTGCTGACCCAATTCATTTGGCTTTTCCACTTTATAGAGAGATAAAAAACAAAGTAAGAACCCAAAACTTCACAGCTCCCAGAAAAGTTTTTGCAATTCTGATCACTGTTAACAGTCTGGAGCCACAAGACTTACTAACTTAGGATATTAAGTATGATGAAGGATTGGAAAAGAGGAAAAATACTTAAAAGTGAGTCAACAATTTTTAGATTTGTAAACTTGCAAACCCAACAAGTTTTCTTTAAGGTAATATTTCAAAAAGCAGAAACAGTGAAAGAAAATGTGCATGCTTGGATTTGAGCATACAGACGGAAGACTAACAGATTAGTTATCCAGAACTCCTTCAACCTCAATGAAAAGTGACTAGAGGACAACAAAGCTGACAGATATCAGTAAAATTGTCTGAATCACATCCATCACTTCTGTATTCTGCTGGCAAACAAAATCTGTGGAAGTACAGTAATGTCTCCATTTTCCAGTCCTCGCTAGTGAATGGACGCTCTTTCAGCTATTTATGTAATGGTAAAGCAGAAGACAACCCATACAGCTCTAACACTTTCTGAAACAGTTTGGTCCCATCCTTAATACTACCATTTCCATCAGAAGGTGTATAGTCAAGTTTGAATGTTAGTTTTCACAACATACCATGGCACCTCTGATCTTAATCTCACTTCAAAGCAACAGGTTTAAAACTGAAGAGAGCTCAGTTGCCTTTAGCGGCAGTAACAGTGTATTACATTCCTTGTTTAAGAAAACACACAACTTCTATCCCTCTACCACGAGTAAAACAAACTTCTCTAGTGAATCATTCCATTTTTTCCCTGTGAGGAATATTTATTTCAAGTCAGCAAAATGGAAGATCATGGTCTAAAACTCAATGAAATTACAAATCAGAATACCCCAGCAGATGAACAAATGCAGAATTACATTTCTGTTCCCTGTGAATCCTGGATACTCACTTTCCAGAGCTCACCCCCTTCATGTGATCCGTGTAGATATAAATGTCTGGGAGAAATTTATTCAGGATGCTCCTTGCAGATTCCACCATTCTGTTTGCCATCTGTGGTGACACTCTGACAGAGTATCTACATTTCCAAGCTAAGGAATTCACTGTGGTCACAAAAGAAATTTAAACCAGAGACTGAAAAAAGTGGCCAAGAGGTCCTAATACATTATTTCAGAAAAATGTGTTTTTGTCATATATATCCATTCATGAGCGCTGGTCCATTTTCCTGTACTTAGAGAAGCACAAGTGCATAAGTGCTTTATACAGTCTTTTCGCTGATATATGTTGAAGTGAGGTACACACAACACGTGCATAAGAACAGCTTATTATGACTAGGTAAACATCTATCTTCAAAATGCCCTTCAATAATTTGAAATTACTGTTCTGTCATCCTGTGCTTTCTTATGATGGAGGAAGCCCTGCGTGCTCTGCTCCTCATATACTATTGAAAGACGGTGACGGGTGAAGTTTCTCTGAATTAGCTGCAAGAAATCCTGTCTTTCTATTTCTATCAGGGAGAAATCAGGCAGATGAAATTAAAGACAAATGTATTAATGAAAGAAAAAATTAATTTTAAAAGGCTAAAAAAAAATCTTTGCTCTCTCTAACTATTTTGCAGTGCTGTAAGGTTATCAAGCTCACTGGTTCTCTAGTGACTCAACATTTGAAGGTAACGGTTCCAGGGAAGAAGAAATTACCACTTTCCTGCTCACCCCAACCCACCTCCTCACAGTACACAAGAGATGAACTGCCTTTGTGCCCTTTTACTCAGGTGCTGCTTCAGTGATATTCCTGACAGATCTTCAAATTTACAAAGCACATTGTGCTCCAAATTCCATCCCAACCATAATGCAGACTCATGCTCTGCACACTTAACCACCCATCTGCACCTACATGCACATAGCAATGCAGAGAAACACACTCTCAAACCTCCTAGTTTGCAGAAGGGAGTTTCCTTTTCTACAAATTTCTACTGCATGCTCTTGGGGAGTAGGGTAAACCAAAAGCTTTAAGATCTTAATGGCAAAATCAGTAAATAATAATCAGAAAACTGATCGTTCTGCACAGTTGGTGCACTCAGTATTTTGGATGACTATAAAAGGTCAACACAAGCTGCAACACAAGCTCCCCATCTGTGAGGAAGCAGAATTGCTCAGCTGAATCTTGAAGGGACAAAAATGCACATATAGAAGACTTAAGCACTTATCCTTCCAGATGTTTTGTTTTCTATTGGCTTGAAGGACACTTAATGGCCAAACTAAAATGAGACTGCCTCTCACCGGCCTTACTAAAGGCAAACCTTTATCCCTGAGAAAAAGCCCAGGAAAACCTGAAGGAAAGTGGAAGTTCAAAAACCTGCAGTTCACATACATTGACCAAATCCAGTCAAAGTGGATGGCACTGTGTATTAACGTCAATTTAGAAAGATGGCACTAAAGCCATGATCATTGCTTCCTCCTTCACACAGAAACAGAGGATTGAACTACTTACTACAGAGGTGGACAGGGGCATAAGGAAATTACTTTCTTCACGGAAAGACCATGACAAACACCACCAAAAGCACAGTAAGCTGCCTCCTTTGTTATTCTACAGCACATGCACCCAGTAAAATTGGTCTCACTTGGCAATGCTGCACTCATGCAAATGCCGCAGTTGGAAACAGAGGTCAAAGCATGCTGTTCTCACACACAATTATGATGGTATGCCATGAAGTGAAAGGATGAGCAGGCTCCAAGTCTGCACCTCTGGCAAGAAACCTGCCCCCATTCCTGCTTTCCTTTTGAGTAATCAAAGCCTGATCATATTTGGGAGTCTCATAATCGCAAATTAAACTACAAGTTGGCCAATGCTCAAGAGGGAGCAGGAGCTCAGGAAATACAACCTTTAGTATACCTTGCCTGTAAAGGATTTCTGCCTTCTTCCTACAATGACAGCAAATTCATGAGAGATACTGTATAAAAGACACAAGAGAAAAATAAAGAAAAAAGAACCCCAAACAAAACATCGACTAGATGTGCAGTTCTGTTTGCAAAAGTGAGTACGCCACAAAAATATTTTGTGCCCTTATCTTTGTGTGGAAGAAAAACCTCCTCCGCTTCCATCTCCAACGGTACTACTGAAGGTGAAGAGCTAGCAAATTTATTCTCATAACACAACAAAAAGCTCAGTTCACGTGTGCAGTGAGGTGTAAACTGAACTAAAATTTAAGCTCCCATCCAACATTCTGCTAGACTCATTAACAGCCAAGATGCCACCTATTCAATGCATAACAAAACTACATTTGTTACTGCTGGATTTACACACAAGGTAAAATTCCTTTTAGTGCTGCTACATTACATGATGTAATGAGGTATTTTAACTTTTTCTTGTTATTGAAAAGATTTTAAGTACTGCTGTTCAGTTTTAAATTTATTTACTTGTTTACGGATTCTTTTTGAACATCAATGTTCTGAACACAGCCATTTTGAGACACGGTCCCGAAATCTAGTTGTGTGATCCCTCTGTGTAATGTCACCCTGTGTTATCTGGATACATGCTCAGCAACATGGGTGCACTTCTGTGACTTCAAGTTGGGAGACTTACTTGTTTAAAGGCAAACTTGTTTAAAAGCAGAAAAAAAAAAAGGATACGCAGTTCCCCTGATACGCTTGATTTTGCCAGGGTCTGTGAACTGAATGGGCTGCAAGACCTTTCTCACTGGGCAAGCAAACAGTATCTCTCCACCCCCTTTGGGAGGCATTCCTCTCCGGTTGATCTAGAAACAATAATGGAGGAAAAAAAGCAAGTTAGTAAAGAGCACAGAGAATGTACTTACACACTCAAAAATGATAGCTTTTATTTCATATATAATAAAATCTTATCAGTAGGGGTGTTATGTGAACACAGGCGAGAAAAAGACATCCTAAAGGCAAAAATGGATTTTGCACCAAACCTGTAAGCAAAAACTGATTTGTTCTTTCCTCCTCTCTCTCAAGTACAGTAGGGCATGGCTTCTCAATGGCAAACAAAACCAAACCAACCAAACAAAAAACCAACACCTCTAGCAGGAAGGCAACCTTGGCTTAAGACTGGTCTCTAATAGCAAATCTGTACCTCACTGCTGAAGAAAGTCTACAAGTGTTTGATACTTAGTATGTATATGGGGGACCAGAATGAACTCATTCCTGCAAACAGGCCTGGCCATCCCAAGCCTGTCCCACTGCCCCAGCCAATGTCCACAAGGATGGGGATGGGACATGGGCCCATGGGTGGGTCTGGCTCAGGGGGCCCATGGCCAGGCAGGGCAGGGCTGTGGGGAGCTGGTCCGTCCCTAGAGCAGGGGCTGACCTAGGGGGATGACATGGGGTCCTGGGCCATGGGCAGGGTGGGGGGAGGCACCTGGAGGGGGCTTGGCAGAACAAGCAAAGACTAGTAGTGCAGCTACGCACATTTTAAATGGGCATTCTTAACTTTGAAAGGCTATAGTTTCCTTCTCCAATCTAAAAAATGTATTCTACATCCAGATTTATTGGGCCTGGGAAGAGTGTAGTCTTTAAAGAAAAGTTTCTTTCTTGTATTTTCCAAACTGGAAGCAAACCTCAATCACCCAAACACAGATCCAGCTCAGATCCAGCTCCTCTGCTGGTGAAGGAGGCAAAAGATTCTACTACTCCCTAGCCCTAAGCACAAGGCAGGAAGAGCAAGTAGAAGGAGAAAGAAATTAAATGAACCAAAGAGGAACAAGAAAGCAAAAAGGCTTCTTAGCTTGCAAAGATCTCGGAGACTAAGAAGAGTCACTACTTTCTCCTTACCCTCTCTACCTCTAGCCTTTGCATCTCTCTTCTACCACATCTTCAATCACTGCGTGGCTGGTATGCCATTTAAAACATGCCAAGAACAAGAGGCAATTTTAGAAATGTGTGTAGCTACAACTAGATATCTGCTAGAGACAGATACCAGCCGCAAGCATATGGACCTGTGAAGCAGTGCAAAAGTATCATTTCAACATGTGCTAGAACAGAAAGGAACAAATTGTCTTACCTTGATTTCTAGACTTTCACCATCAATTCCAAACTTCTTCAGCAGGGGTAGAGCTGTTGCCTTAAGGACATCAACCTATAGAATGCAGAATTAAAGAAGCAGACTTTGTTGGAAGTTACAGAAGTCAGTAATTTAAAAATCATTGCATTATGAGGTGCCTAACAAAGACAAGGCTTCTCCATACCAGGTATTCTATGGGAAGACATGGTAATGCAGCATAGAGAGCTTCGGCTACTCTTAGACTACCGCAGTATCTCATTACTCAAAAAATTAGCTAGAAAAAATTACTGGGAGGTGGAATTTCCTATTCTGGATTTCTTCCTCAGCCTGATTTTTATTTCTATTATGGTTCAGCTAAAACAGCTCACTTGTTTCTCTGAAAACAGATATTGAAAAAAATTATATTCTTCTGTCATTGCTAAAAAATTCCTACAGCTAAAGAAATGATGATTGCAAGAACCTTCGCATTTTGGAGCAGGCCCTTAATTTGGCAGGAAGAACCTCATCCTTTTGTCAAGAACTTCCTTTCATGTTTCTGAGAAACAGATACTTCTAGGTAACTTCTGTCAAAATACTTAGAAGAATCTGAAGTGGGTGACACATCATCTATGTACTCCCTTTGAGCCAGATGCTCACCAGATCCAGGTCTGAGCAGGATTTTCCTTGCCATTGCTCCTCCTAATAGCTGACCTAAGACAACAGTGACTGCTGTCTTCTTCCCTCTACTGAAACTTCAGTAGCATTGCCAAAGGTGACAAAAATGATTTAGTGGTGCAACAGCACAGGGAGTTACCAAAGACAAGCAGCTTGGGAGAGACAGGACCAGGACAGCATGACCAAAACCGAACTAAATTCAGGTGAAGGAAACAGACATGCAGTAGACAGCAGTTGAGGAGGCAGGAAAAAAAAAGCACCCTCCTTCCCACGCCTTCAGCCAGAATCCACAATTCTTGAGTTTCATTCTCTCCGCTTTGCAGACAGTGCAAGCCACTGACAAAGTAGTAGCACATACCTCACCTACAAAGCTGTGAACAACCTGTTAGAGCTACCTGAGTAGCTGCCAGTGTATGCTGCAGTTCTCATTGTTCTTCAAATCCTGCTGGCCGACATACTTTCTTTCTTACAGAGAGGCATTTGGTGTTATTTTTAATGGTAGTATCAATATTTTATTGTCTTCATTAAGAAAAAATGTAAGTCAATGATTAATTTTTTATATTTTTTACAGCGAGGCTACCTTAATTCGGCCCCTCAGTAGTATTCATTAATCACACAAATTTGACTTTCAGAGCAAAAACCTTTACTAACATGCATGCGCACATACACAGACACATGTGAATACCACTGGTAGAAGTTCCAACAAGCTGATCTGGTTCACACCGAAGCTACACACATATTTCTCCCTCTTTCTTAGGAAAGAAAATATGCCAGTAAAAAAAGAAAAGCTTCACTGTGTAGGTTAGGAACTCCCTTTCCCTCCTCCATTTCCACTTTTGCAATTCTGGACTGAAGTCTGTATCTCTGGAGAAAGCATGTTATGCCAGCATTAGGAAGCTGGATCAATTTTGAGTCTGGTTTGTCTGTTTCTCAAGACTTGTCATAGTTAGTCCTCAGGCAAATTCCAGGCATGATACTTATCAGGTACCAGACAGACATAGAATAAGAGACTGTCTCTGTTCCAAATCTGCAGCCTAAATAGAGAAGGTAATCAGCAGTATTTGAAGAAGTGAAAAAGGCTGTTCTGCTTAGCAGACGAGTGGGAGTTCAGGCAGGAGAGGTCCAGTACTTCAGAATTGAGACCTGAAACCGTATTTCTAGTCTCTTGCCTATACTCAGCCATAAAACCATCCTTCAGCTCCCCTTGAAGGACAGTCATTACATCTCCAGAGCAAACAACACAACACCAAGTTGTACCAAAGCAAATGCATCATAAAACCAATGCATTCACCACAAATGCCAACAACTTGCTAAGTCCCACAGACATTGCTTGTTCACAAACTAGTGTAAATACAAACCTTTTTCCCTTAAAGAAATCTACAATGATTGAAGAAAAAAAAAAAAAAGTATCTTTTAGTGGTTTGCAGAATCCCTTAGCTAGTGCAAAGCTGCAAAAAAACAGTCACAGACCCTACAGCACACGGCTACCTAGAAAAGGGGCAAGGATTAGCTGGCCTGCATAGCCATTAGCACTGCACAGAAGAGCATTTATCCCTGCCATACATACAGCGTTATGTTCTGGGGACAAGGACCTAGACTCAGGGGTGGGGGAAGAGCGAAATCAGAGTTTAGCAAGTGAAAAAAAAAAACAACCCACAGAGAAGTCAGTAAGAAAAACTTCTTGTTTTCCTGGGATTACAGACAACTGCTGAATTTTGATTAACGTTGAAGACGATTGCTCCCAAGCCAAAACTTCATATGCTAGTCTCATGCCAGCATGAAAGTAATTTCAGTTGAAAGTCCCACGGCATAGCTGTAAAAAAACTTCCAACACTTACAAACCCAAACATTAAGAATGATTATTTTAAAACCAGGTTACTGCAGCATATGTATCTGTCGGAGCAACCACACATAGAGAAGGGAAGGAAAATAAGAGCTATCATTTGTGTGCCACCTCCATTTGCTTCAAAAAGGCACTTTACAAAGACACCCCCCACATATATACTCTCTATACAGAGAAACTTTAAACTACCTCAACTCTATATGCCAGCCCCACATGGCTGGTCCCACAAGCTATCCATGGTCAGGTCTCACCAGTGGTCGTGCAGAAAAACATAATGCATATGTAAGCTGCCAGTGAACAGTTCAGGCTGGTATTCCACAGCCACGTCTCTTCCCGACAAGTGCGAGCAAAGTAGTATGCCTCTCACTCATTAAGGATGTATCACTCACCACACACTATTATCACCATGGTCCAACCCGAAGCAAGTGCACATTACCCTGTATTTCAATGGCCACAGTACTCTTTTGGAATGGCACCAGCTGTCAAAGAGCTATCCACTGCACCCCACTGGAGGGCTATTAATATATATAAACAAATGCTAACATAAACACACACTATTTATAGTCCAGGAACTCAGCCTGACCTGTGCCACTCTGAACTCAGCTGAAGTCTCTCCTTCCACAAGCCATCCTTTAGAAACGCCCCTCCTCTTGCCTTGACCACTTCCACTCTCCCCACAGCAGGAGATCTGCCATGTTCCCTTTTGTCCTCCTGACAAGGGGGTCTCTGGCAAAGAGCAACCTCAAACCCACAACACAGCAATGGCATCCAACAGGTATTTTTGAGGTTGTGTAAAAGCTCAGAGCTCAGTGCTGAGAACGGATTTCAGAAAGCCCAGTGGGTCAGCCTACCTCCTCACTGCTACCATGAGGGAAAGGTCCCACTTCTCTGGCTGCACGCACATTCCTGCTACTTACCTCGTGGATGCCTCCATGAGAAAATGCAGGGGTACAGCTCTCTGCCATTTTGCCAGTTAGTTGAACTGGCTTAGGGAAGGCTCTGAAAAGTGTCTGGGGTATTGGAGTACACAGGACTGTGTGGCTGAAAGCAGGAGATATGGAGGGAGGATGGGCAGGACTACTTTCTCCTTTCAAGCACAAAGGGGGTGCTATAGGATCATATGTGTGTATATGTATACATATGTACATATGTATTTTCACACATGCATATGTGATTTTGTACATTTATTTGCAGGTGACAGATGTTGAATACACTCACACGAGGATACATCCTGTAGAGGTCATCTAGCTCCAAAATAAAGACACGTGTTTACAAAACATGATATTCCTTCGACAAATAAAACCAACAAAAATTCTCCAAAGCAGATGAGCAGGTGTCTTGCCTACTCTACCTACTAAGTTGAGATGGAGAGGTTCTTACATGAAGAGCAGCAGGGAAAACTCCTTGCCCATTTTAAACTACCCACAATATATTTACATTGGTTTGCCTTTCCCCCTTCTCCTTGGAAAGCCAGAAAGTGTACATATGGATAGACAAACTTAAGCATCCCTTTTTGGGCAAGCATAGGTAGTAAACATTCACCCAGTTTCTAAACACCTTCTGCCTACTGAAAAATAAAAGCCCAGATCAATTTAAAACCAAGTTTTCATTTACTTAAGCACATAAATCACTTAGGGTAGCACTTAAACTTGTGCTTTTAGTCTCAGCAACCTGCAGAGCCATATGCTATACAAAACATCTTGTAAAACTCCTTGAAGTAGTTTATTGTGTGCACCAGGTTTTATGTTTACTCAGGCAAGTTAAACAGACATAAGCCAGCTTTAGGAATTGGTATTCAGTTATCACCACTTAAAAAGTTATACACATGAGCTGAGTCACAGTAACTACAGTTGTGCTTCTACAGCACAATGAACTTAAGATGTAACTCCTTAGAATGCACATCTGCATTTTATTTACACTTAGTGTCAGGTACTGTGATTCAGCTGATGTATGCCAACACCCATCTGTGTCTGAGCTTTGGCCAGTGCAAGCCCCCTTCAAGCACAAACTAACTGGCTCAAGTTCTCGCACCCATTTCAACTAAAATTGTTTAATCTCTATTGGCCCATGTGGCTGATGCCTGAAAAGGGATAATTTCCAGAATCAAGACTCAGTTGCTTAGATGAGTGTCCAAACTTACTTGAAAGCAACATTAAGACTGGACTGCTCTCCGTGTCCAAATTCTTCAAGAATTTCTCCATTGTGATTAAAAAGACAGAGTCAACCAAAAGAGACGACTTTGATTTTTACTACTTACCATTTCTATTAAGTACTTTTAATCACGGTGACTAAAAGGTCAGCAAAACATGCTTCCCATTTTACTTTTCTTTTTTCCCCCCTTTTCCTTTTTTTTTTTTTTTTTTTGACAGTGCTGTGTATAACCCAATTCGATCATCCTTTGACTCATGTGGGTGTCTCACAGAGCCACAGGTGAGAGAACAAGTTTTTTAAATGACAAGAGAAGCACAGTTGAAAAGCCATAAATACCAGCAGGACTCAGAGGCTCATCTAATATCTGCAATTATACTTCATAGTATTGGTATTCATTTAAACTGGTTAAGTTTTCAGATGACAAAGTTTCCTTAATCTACTCAGAGGAAAACAGGCAGTCTCCAATCACCATTCAAAATGTAAACAGCAGTGCTATTCTCCAAAAGCTATTATGTTTGTTTTTTTCGAGGGAAAAAAAAATAGCATAACCACTAACCATTACTTCAGTGTTTTAATCCCACATTATCCATAGCTCAGTTTTGTAACAACACTTAAAAAAAGGACTGTAAGTCAGCAGTAATAGAAAACAAGGCAAGCATTTCATAGTCATTTGATCTACCATACCTTCTAGCATCTTTCTGAAGAATCAGTTACTACATATTTTTGCTACTGTAATTTCATAATTGTCATGTGACTTCTGTTTCTAACAGAAAGAAGGCTTCACAGCAGCATTGGTATAATTATGTCCAGCATCCAACAGAAAAGAAAGCTTCCTTCTTTACCACACAAATTTTAAAGACAATTTCCCCTTTGTACAGTAAATACGTATGTGGGGTAGGAAAAACAACCCATCTAATTTCTAAGAGAACAGGAGAAGTGGCAGCGTCTCACATCGCATTTAAAGGGAATTTCCAGGGGACAAGACAGAAGCAGTACAGAACTGAAAGTCAAAAGGTGGATTACAAACTGCAGTTTGGAGTGAGATGCAGAAAGGGAACAGTTTAGCTGGTGCTTGTTTGATTCAGAGACTTTGCTGGCAGGTGCAGTAACACTGGATACTTCTGCATGCGAGGGATGATAAAAATGCAACATGTTTTAGACACTTCTTCCTAATTTTTTTTTTTAAAGGGAAAAAAAAAATCCTCCTCTGGTACTTAAATTTTATTACTTACCGAAGGATCTACTTGGTCATTTGTTACTCCCCTCAGGACAATCTTCAATGGATGTTTCATGAAAGGTGCCAAGCAGAGCAGACTTTCCAAATAGTAGCCAATACTACGACTGGGGCTGCAGTCATGTTCCAATGAGCCTCCATACAGAAGACCAGGCTGATAATACAAGGTAGTACCTGGGGAAGGTGCCAGGGAAGCAAACCAAATGAGAGTGCTGTCAGCACGCTGGCCATTACTACAGCATAAAGACACTTTGCAACGATGTATACAGGCAAATTGGAGACAGAAGAATTTATGAAAGATGGTAGCACTTCCAGCACGCTATTTCTATGTCTGCAATTAATAAATAGGCCAACGCACATGAGTGTCTGTCTGTCTGTCTTGCACATAATTTCTCCTCCTTTCCCCTTCTCCCCAAAAATCAAGAATCTCTTAGCAATCCCCAAAATGCTGATACAAGCAATTATTATCCTCCACAGCAGCTAAATCTTCACCAGATGATCAGGTCATTGCTATCACGGCATATCTGGTAGTAGTTTGTCTGCTTTACTGACCAACCATAATCCTTATTAAAAAAACAACAAAAGAAAAAGAGGACAAGAGCCAGATGAGATTTTTATGTGGGATGTTTCGTGCTCAAACCAACCCCTTTTCTGAGCATGACTAGGCAAGCAGTCTTGCTCAGAAGTTTGCCTTTGTAGAAGGCAAACCTTGCCTTCTACAAAAATCTGTTCTGGTTCAGAGGGACCTCCCCCACTACAAAATCCTGCATACCATACTAATTTTAATTCTTGAGCAATACAGTTTCCTTACGTCTCTGCATTACGGTGGAGCGCTAATCTTCTTGCATGCGATCAATTATTACAAAACTTCTTAGTTTAGTTATTTCTGATCTTCTCAGTCAATGATATCTGAACACCCACCTCTGTCAAGCCAAAACTTTGATTTCACTGCAGCAACTGATAGAGCCGGGAAAACCAGAACAGAGGAAGAAGAGAAAACATCTCTCACCTGTTTGGTTTATTTCAATCCGAGAGCCGTTGGTCACTTTGTCAATCAGGCGAATAAAACTTGCTTCAAAATCTAAGGAGCAGAACAAAAACAGAATTTTAAAGTTCCTTAAATTCATTCCTGGAAAAAATAAGAACTTCAACACCATACTTATACATTTTCCCTTTCCTGCCTTTCACGACAGTGAGGCCACCCTCACTCTTCAACTTGTTGTGGTATAATTCTACCATATGAGAAAAGGCAATTCACTATAAAAACAGAGATGTTAATTTGAGCCTCCATGCTTATAGGCATCTCAAATCAATTGAGATGCCCTCAGATGTGACCGCTGGACTAGCCACACTCCTCCCCCTGGCACACAGCGAGTGCTACAAGTTGACGCTTCTGACCACAGTGGCCTGAGGGATCACTCAAGCCCAGGATAAAACTTTTGACAATTTACATTTTGCTCAGTACGAAGCAAAACATACAAATCCTAGCAAACAGGACCCCGCACATTTAAGCATGACAAGCTAATAACAGCTTCCCATTATTCTCTGTAAAAGTCTTAGTTTAAAAGAAGGGGACATTCAGATGTGAAGTGCTGCTGCTGCACATCTGTTCCACAAACACAATTAGCTATCTGCAGACTTTCAAGTTTTCCCATTTTCAAAACTGTCACTGACATAATAAAGGCTAGAGAAATACAAGTCTCCCCATCGCCTCTTTTCTTGCTTACTGTGTACACCATAGCAGTTTGTGTGGAACTAATTCCTCAGTTTGTTCTGAGGAAACAAGTTCCCTTGTTTGTGTGGACTCTCGCTCAGAGACACGGGGAAAGGACAAGCATATTTAACAACAACAAAAAAACCAACAAAGGACAAGCATATTTAACAACAACAAAAAAAACAACAAAAAAAAGAGGAATATGCTAGTATTCTAGTATTTAGGTATCCCAAGCTGGTACAGACTCAGTATCAAGGAAAATATGTGAACATATGCAGAGTTCAAAACCCAGGTAGTTTTAAGGACCAACAGCACTGGCATAACAGTTGGTAGGCTGCAGAACTTCCTTAGCAATAACCCTGTGTTACTTCTTAAACAGTAATAAAATTTTTCTTTCTATATAAGCTTCTAGGATGCAATAAACATTTAAACCAAAGAGCTACCCGCAGAAATTACAGTTCGTTAACATTTTCCTAATACGGTTGATGCCCCAGTCACACAATGCTGGTTCTGCTCTCTGTTATGATAACTTCTAAACTTCAAGTTTATATGACAGCACTGGGACCTCTTCCAGTGCAAGAGTGCATCCTTGTGAATACACATTTCCCTCGTGGAGAACAAACCTGTAGAAGAGTTTTCATTGCAAATGTTCCAGTCATGAAAAGCAGAGAGAACTGCATGTTGAATCATCAACACAAATCAGGGTTGTTATTATTATTTCTTCTGTTACAGTCACAGCTTACATTTTAACCCATAATTGAAAAAGGCAATTCAAACACCTTTTAAAAAAACATGGCAAAACCTACAAACTTCACCACCACCAAACATCCCACAGTATTAATAAATACTTTGGGTCATGCTAAACGTTAAGTACACAAGAATGTTTTGACAGTTTCGGAGGAGAATTTCTAGCTATAAACTGAAGCGTCCTCAGGAGGCAGCGTAGCATCTGTGCTGGTCCTACCCCTGTTCTGAACTTCACACCTTGGCCAAAAACTAACTGAACACAATAACGTTTCTTCCTCAATCTCTATCCTATCGTCTCCTCACTTGAGTTAAATGAGGCAGTTTATTTTGGGGTGCCAAAGGTCCCGTACAGGAATGAAGAGGGTACTCCCTAAGCAAGGTTTCCCTCAAAGGAGTCCGCAGCATCGGAAGTTTTCAGAAATGAGAAGTAAACAGATTCCACGTCTTTCACCTCTACTGCTCCTTGGGCAAAACCCAAATAAAAGCTAAAGCATAAACCCTGACCCATTAAAACCGTGGTAACTTGGGCTCCCAGGAGGAGATGGAGGACACGCCACCGGGCAGGCGGCAGCGAACGACGGCAAGTTCTGCCACTTTGGACTGAAGAGCCCTCTTTACAGAGACACGGACCAACCGCGGGGCTGTCGGCGAAGCTCACGCACAAGCGAGCCAGCGGGTTAGACCCGCGCTTGGCATCCCCTCCCGCTCCCCCACCCGCAACGCCTCACGCCGGGAGCAGAGCGAGCCGAGCTGCCCTGCGGGGGGGGACAGTGCCCGCCCCGTCTCACCGGGGCGGCTCGGGCGGGGCAGCGCAATCCCCAGTCGCCCCGTGCGCCCCGGCTCGCACCGGCCCAGGGGGCCCACGCTGCAGGAAAAGCGTGACCTCGTGGAAAGGCACAGCCGCGGAGCCCAGCGGAAAGCCGCAGGGCCGCCAGCGCAAGGTCTCTCCGCGGCACGCCGGCTTCCACCAAAACGAGGCGGGTCGGTGACACCCTCCTTGCTTTGGCCTCTTTCACCA